TTAAACGGAAATTGTTCATTTTCCTTTAAGCAAAATTTCCTATGATTTACGCTTGTGAGCACACAAGATAAATGCATATTAATAACCATTCACGCAGTTAACGACCTAATTACTTCAGGTATAGTACGAAAACATATGATGTATCGGCAAGCCCGGGTGCATTTCAGCCTTTTTAACCTGGGTTTTGTTAAAACGACAAAATTTGGGAAAAACGAAATGAATGCAAAAGCAGTGCGTAGGTGGGACTTTGAATTTTCCAAATTCTTTATCAGGCCTGTTCCTATCAATGCATTTGAAGCTTTTACAAGTTCCCATCCACTGTGCATACGCCTGTACCTGTGTATAAATCATTTGCCGGACATGGCGCTGTAGCAAGTACCGACTTTCTAGCGCAAATGTTAAAAGTCCCACTCCGTCAGCAGATCAACTAGTCCTACGATGTGTTCATTCGATTCGATGGTAAATTGGTACAGGCGTATGCCAAAAAGGGCACATTCGAAAGCGACGGTGCACACACGTGGCAGTCGCAAGACCAAACTAAGAGCGAGCTGTATTCGGCAAGTGGCTGGGTCTGAGTATTGCTGAGAACTTGGGGTTACTATAAAAAGCTAGTAGTGCTAATTTTGATTAAAAAAAGTTAAGATGATGATTCTCGGGCTTTTTTTGTCACCACTGTCACTGTATTCGAATATGGCAGAGCTGTTCATTTTATCACGTCTCATTGCTGGAATTGCTGTTGGAATGAGCACAATGGTACAAAGTGTTTTTCTCACCGAAATCAGTCCTGGTGTGTTCTTTTGTCGAGCTAATCCTAAGCTAAAATTTTTCGGTTACTAGATAATTTCAAAATGCGATTATTTACTAGGAAGAATGCTTTCTGTTGGCCTAAAATTACAAGATAAAAATTTTGCTGATAAATCACTAAAAACTGACTTTATGGTTAAAACTTAAAATAAAAAACAGTGGCAGCGCACACCAAGGTTACTGGTGCGAACATACGTTTCTGCAATCAGGTAAAACAGCTGCCTATTTGGTGCATGAGAATTTTTAGACTTTTTTTATTATTAGAGCAGACTAGAATTTTTCGGTTTGAAATGCGAAAATATTTGGTTTAAGAAATGAAGACTACGCAACTTCAAGTTTCACGTGTCCCTCATTACGTAAGAAGTAGGCGTTCATGAACGCTGAATTCAGGCCTTCTGGACCGCTAGCGGTCAGGAAAAATCATTCTAAAGCTTGATTTTCCTAGTTTCGCTAGTTCCAGAACTGGAAAATTTCTTACTAAAACTTCACGTGGCTATGAGTGGCGTAGCCAGGGCAGACAATGGTAAAACTTCTGTATTTGAGTTTGCTTGGTTGGGCGATACTCGGACAGACACACACATCATGTTCATAGCAAAATGCATTTTTACTGAACTCACCACAGTTTGCTTGTAAACAGTTCCTGAAAGACGGATCTATCGACAGCTTAGCCTTCGCACGGTTATTGTTGGCGTTTGCTGCCACTTGGGCTACTTCTCTAGTGTCTTCGCTTTTCAGAAAGTTTTCACTTAATTTTGATTTGCTTTCTGAAAGAATACTAAGTTCTTCAGAATTATTCATCTTTTAAGTTAATCATCTTTCTGCACATTCACAAGAATGTATGACCGAGGAGACTTTCGCATCGCTACTCAAAGAATTTTTAGTTGGTTGTCGTGGTCTGATGGGCACAATGACTGGTTTATCCACCAATATTGGTGTTTTAACTTCATCCGCGCTTGGTTTGCCGCAGATTTTTGGTACCGACACATTGTGGCCATATGTTTTCTACATAGAAATGCTTCCATGCTTTATGCTGATAGTTTATGCGATTTTTGTCCTTCACGAAAGCCCTCTGTATTTTTTGCGGAGAAATGATGAAAAGCAAGCGCAAAAGGCCGTTGAATTCTACTACAGCAGGGAAGATAATTCGTATAGAGTTACAAAACAACTGGAGATGGAGTTACATTCACAGATTCATCATTTGCGAGATGCTGGTTGGATGGTTCTCTGGACGGACAGGTTTTTTTATAAAATTTTCTGTGAACTTTTATGCTAAGTATTGTTGTTATGTTCTAGGAGACTGCTTGGAACGTTTTAAGTAACGATGCTTGCGACAACTGCCAAAAAGCTGATAAAGTGTTGAAGTGAGTCTGAATGCTGCTACTAGAGCGATGACTGCGCGTCACGTGAAGTGGGTTTCATTATCGAGTGTCCAGTGCATGCAGCTGACGCAGAAGGATGACAGTAGTCGAAAGATACTGAGCCTATCAAATTAGGAAATTTCATCTCTACTAATTTATGCTTGTTTTGCAAATGCGTTTTGGCCCATGACTGGCGATACTTTGATCAGTGTGCATCGTTTTGGCAAATACTACTTGGATTTGGCATGTATTTTCCTTTACAGAAAGCCAGAAACATCACTTGTACAATTCAATGTTTCAGAGCGAATATATCAAGTGAGCAGCTTTTGAGCGTTACCACTCATTTTGACAGCCAACTTTTTTGACTTAGTTAATCTTTAAAGTGAAGACAATCTTTCTAGGGCAACGCGGCGAGCGCTTTATTTCTCGATTATTTTGAATGGGACGGTAAGTTTCAGTGGCATAATCGCGATGTCATTTTTCGGGACATTCCTTCTTAATGCTATTGGATTCTCAGAGCATGGTGCTGCACTAGCAAACTGTATTTCATCTTTAGCCGGTACAGCTGGTATACTCGTCGGAGCGATCACAATCGACAATGTAAATTGAATCTAATAGTATTACATAATGTTAGCAGGAAATATAAATTCGGGCAAACTTGAAGTGTAGAAATGTTACACGGGATGTGCAAGTAGGGTTTCAGCAAGAATGTTTTATGTCTATGTGTGAGCCAAATATTTTAAATTCAGCTTTAGCACATCCCTACAACACGTGCATTAATGTTTCAAAACTGAAACTGAGACGTCATTAGCAAAATTCCAATTCAGGAAAAAAAGAATAATGCGAACTTATGTGTTCTAACTTCATGAAAATATTTGTTTTCCATACATAAGATGCAGATGTAAAACGAACTTGGGCGCTCGTAGGCATTCATTGTCAGTGCTTTTGAGCATAGAAGGTCGCGTTGCACAAATCCAATTTCCTATGAATTCTCCTAGTCAGCTTCGGCCCATACCATGAATACATTTGTGTGGCACAGGTCCTCGCTGCTGCTTCTGCAAAATTAGTTTTGGGTGGAGGCGAAAAGAAATGGAGTGATAAGGACACTCATGGTACTACCAGAATACACATATCACTGCCTAGCCTTTAAAGTGCAAGTAGAAGATTATATTTGAAACATAGCCGTACAAGTACAAATAAATACATAAATAATGCATACATAAGCACATACACAACAAATACATACGCACACAAATGTATAAAAGTGGACGCATCTTGGCCAAATTTTAGAAAGTATTTGTTTTTGAAGATCGGACGTCGCTTCTTGCTGATTGGAAGTATGGTTAGTTTAGTGGCCGTCAATACAGGAATGATGGCACTTGTTTCGATCTTTCTTCGGTATCATTTCATCTGGCTTGGATATGGATTCCTACTTCTCTTCAACGTCTTCCTATTTGTCTTCAGGTTTTTTAACACGATTATACCGATAATTTAACAACGGTAGCTGTGCTAATTTACCAAACGTCACACAATGAGTAGCTGTGCTAGGCTCTCATGCCTGAATTGCCTTCCTTCATTTGGCACCAACCGCCCCCAATTTGTAAACATTTGAGTGGACCTAAAAACATTGTTTTAAAGGACGCTTTAGTGGGCACTTGGAACTGCGCACTGATACAAGAAAGGTATCTACTTTTTGATAGCTAGGCATGTGGCTCTTCACAACAATTTTACTTTTTCTCAAAATCATGACGATGTCCTGCATTTCACATGCTTTGTGAGACGCTTGTGTGTTGCGCTTAGCAAAGCCAAGATTTAGTTTAGCAGAAGAGGAACGAAAGCTTTTTGAACAGTTGGGAAGAGCGAAGGGAAGAGGCGAAAGCAATGAAGGTAGGTAGTCGAACAGACCGTTTTTCTTAAAAGGGTGAATTTCATATTTTACACAGATTTTGTTGCAGTTTTTTTTTTATTTTTCATGTTAATGCCAGATTTCTTGTCATCTTTATGACTTGAAAAACAATAACACTTTTAATCTTTATTTCGAAGTGCTAATTAAAAATTGAAGCGTGCCTTTTAATGCGAAGCAATTTTACATACCAAAAATGAGTACCTCTTAAAATCATTGACAATGCGCACCAGCTGATGGTGGGGGAGGGAGGAGGGGCAGTGTGATCATGCGTTTTTATGCGTTTTTTGCAGTTATGCAATGCGGAAAACGCATATTGACGACGTGTTGTCTGTGTGTGTGTCTGTGTGTCTGTGTATGCGTCTGTACCGATTTTTCATCTCAAGACCTACAAAAGCTACAGGACTGAAACTTTGGGAACTTAGTCTACGTGCACGTGCGGGCCCAATTCTCAGAATGGGCGCCTTTACCCGCGTGATACCCACGTAAGAGCCCGAAAAAGTTTTCTATGAGAAGCTAGAAGGCCGAAATCTTAAGGGGATGTTCCCCGTCAAAGTAGATACTGACAGGCTCAAACCCATTCCCCGGGTAAGCGTCGTACCCGCGTACGAGCCCACCAAATTTTTTTCGGGCAAGTTCATAACTCAGAGATCTGAGAAGCTAGAGCGCTGAAATCTTAAGGAGATGTTTTCCGTCCAAATGGATATTAATGGGCTCCAATCCAGCTCTCGGGTAAGCGTGGTACCCACGTACGGACCCGCCAAAGTTTTTTTCAGGTAACTCGCTAACTCGGGCATCTGAGATGTTAGAATAATGAAACCTTAGGGGGATGTTCCCCGTCCATGCGAGTATTAATGAGCTCAAAACCAGCCCCGGGTAAGTGATACCCACGTAAAGGCCCGCCAAAGTTTTTTTCAGATAACTTGCTAACTCGGGCATCTGAGAAGTTAGCACTTGGACGGGAAACATCCCCTTGAGATTTCAGCCAGAAGGCTGAAATCTCAAGTGGATGTTCTCCGTCCAAGTGCTAACTCGGGAAGAAGTTAGAAGACAGGAATTTTGAAGGGATGTTTCCTGACAGTTCTGGCGGCCAGTCTGCAATTCTTTTAC